GAACGAAAAATGAGAAAGACACGATGAATACACCGTCTGTAGTTCGAACGAAATTTTTACAGCGATTTCTGTTCCGACTGCGTTACATCGTGCTCTAGATTTTTATTGCGATCGACGAAATTTAAAAGACGGATGGATTCGTGACCATTCACCGACAATTTCAACACTATTACTAGTTTTGGTTCGTACGGTTACGACAGAGATTATTAAAAGATTATTCACGTTATTAGTTCCGAGAATCTTTTTTTTTTTTTTTTGTAAGTGATAAAAAAAAAAAAAAATCCAAGTGGAAAAGGAAAATAGAAAACGATAAGAGTTTTATTATTTTTCGTTGCAATGAATGAATTTATTTAATTTGGCACGTGCAGCACTAGCATAATGCACAAAATGAATGTAGTGCATTCGCAGTACAGCAGTGTAGTAATTAGTTATACGAAACTTTTTTGAAATTTCGATGGCACTGTTTGATGACAGAGTTCCGTGATTCTGCTGGCAAAATTGGAGATCAATACAAATGTGTACATAAAAAGTTACAATTTGTTACAAAACATTTAATAAAATTAAATACGCAGTATGAAATTATACGGGAATTTTGAAACGTATAATCAATGCTAAAGATGATCTCAATAAATATTCTAGCTTGTTGATATAATGAATAATTAACTGTTTCAAGCATTTTGATGCGAATTTTATCAATATAGCCACGATAATCGTATCTCGTTACAGTGTTACTGAAATTTCGAAAGTATGTTGTATGACACACATAATTTAGAAAAAGTTTCCATAAGTGTTCAAATGTACCATCGCGAACCACCATAGTCGAAAGAACGAAAAAAAAGTGTATTCTAAAATGCAAATCGTATTGAAATTAATTGCATTCATAGAATAGCGAGCATATTCTTTAACTCTTCAACACTTTATTGTACATGTTCAATATATTACGTATAAAAAAAAAAAGAAAAAAAAATAAGGAAAAAGTCTACTGTTTAGGAGAGAAAGAAAAGAAAAGAAAAAAAAGATACTGGGAACTAATAGCACGAGCATATATACATGATGAACTATTCAGAAGACTTATTGATCAACTCCATCGATTAAAAAATAGAGAAAAGTGATGAACACTGTTTTTTTTAAATTTTTCCTAAGAATTCACTATTATTCATTGACATGTTCTT